GCAGGTAGGCCTAACCTATTCTGAGTAACTTGGCCCACCCTACCAATCGCTTTTTAAACATTTGGACATGGTGGGGCGATAGTTAGTAGGGTCCAAGTACCTTCCATATACTTTTGCTTCCATTAATTCATTTCACTCAAAATAGCTCGTACCCTGGGTCAAAATCGTCTGAATTCACCTCCAAAATGGTCTTTAAACTGTTTAATGCGCCAGGCTTAGGATCAAGTGAGAATCAGAGATTCCAATAATGATGATAAGGTTTGGTCACAATTGAGAAGAAAAAAGAAGTATCTCCTTTAAATCAGAAACGGTTTTGTTGAGTGCGATGTCGCCATCATGTTCAAATAGAGTGATTTGAACTGTATGTTAATGTCCTGGAGACGATGTCACAATGCACCAGCCTCTAGCGGACCATTCACAAAAAGCATGCCGTATCGGCACATGCGCGCTGACGACTGATTCCTGAGCACTCCATGTCAGGTGGCTGTGATCATATTGAAACTGTACAATGGGCATTGCCTATGGAAGGTACATGTACTTGGACCCTACTATCGCCTGACCATGTCCAAATGTTAAAAAAGGTAATTTGTAGGGTCCAAGTTACTCGGACTAATGGCCAAGCTAGGTCTGCATGTCGGTTCAACCATTTTCAGAGGCAGGGGGTGGAATTTTGTTGGAATTTTGTGGAATTTTGAACTGATACCAGCAGAATATGCAACAAGCGCCGCGCTGTGTAGCTGTGATGGGTTTAAGTTACATGTACTACATGTGGTGCTTGCATTGTGTGATAATGTCAGAATGGGTGTACCTGCAGATGTCAGGCTTCATGAGCTCACTCTCTCGTGTAACATTTATATAAGTTCCTCCAAGCACCACCAACTGCGTGACAGAATGTCGTTGTGTCAGTGTAACACAGTCGTAACTGGTATTTGTGTTGTACATGAGACATGACCTTGTTGCACTGACATGACAATGTATAAATGAAAGCCCCTATATATTACATGGTCCTTACATTTAGGTTTAGAACCCCTCTCTACCAGACTGTACCAGAAATTGTACAACGAGTGGCAACAAATTTGTAATTCTGATATGTACTTATATGCTAGTCAATTCAATTCAAGTTTTACTGTGTTTAATTCAAGTAGTTCTAGAACTGAGTGTTTTTGTACCGTCTAATTTGCTTGTTGTGATTGCAGAGAATTGATCACTTCCCCAGAGTTTTTCTTTTCCTGTTCACATTTGGAGGGACATGGTGGCTAGTAAAAGTCTTCCCGATTCTTGTACATTTACAGTGTACTTTTAAAACTCCTTAATCAGAATAATACATGTATCGCATGTTTCCAGTAGTAAGACCACCACACCAGGCCTGCTGTGGGGCAAGCATGCCCTCAAGAAACATCAAGAGGACAAGCACAGGACCATCAATGAGCAGCACCGGGCTAAGTTCAAGCCTATCAAAGAGCGCGAGCAGGAGCACCGACTGAAGGGCTTGGGCAACGCCTTGTCTAGTCAGAACAAGGGCTTTGCCCTGCTGGAAAAGATGGGGTACAAGCAGGGCATGGGGCTGGGAAAAACTGGTGAGTGACTGTTGCGATGGCAGTGTGGGTGATACATGTGTAAAACTCTTGCCTGTAACTTTCTAGTTATCTCAAGGAAAACAGAGAGGAAGGACACAGGAGTTGCAACTCTGGCACTTCAAAGTGCTCGATGAGCATTGCCGCCGGTCAGACAAATAATACAAAACATTCCAAAAATGCCTGATCACTGCCTGCAGCTTAGCCGGACAAGCGGGCCAGTAATATCCTAGCAATAGTTGTAGTGTTTTGCTTGCAATTAAATACAAATTATTGCTGTGACCAGAAAATAGACAGAAAAATCCCTGATATTAGACCTACTTTTACCATCGTGATTAAACTTTTAAATTTTGATACACTGTCCATTATCCATGCAAAGTTTGTAATTTTATTCTCCTCCCTCCAATAATCAGTTCTCAAAGACATGGTACAAATTTGGCTAAGACTGGCCAACAAAATGTTGACTACAACTGGAAAGCTAAATTCATAAGGAACAAATTGTGATATTTCATCTCAGGGAGTGATCATGAAATCCCTTGAAATACGCTTTTGTACAAATGCCATAATACAAATGATTCAAACAAAACACAAAATCTTGTTAACCCCTTGAAGACGGGAATTTCTTTCCGAAAGCCGACTCCAAGAATTCCATCCTCCCTTGGCAATGAACGCCACCTGCCAAACTGCAAATTCTCGGTTTGTGGCTCTGTGTGCTCTGCACGCTTTGAATTATACGGTGAAAAGGCTGATTGTTCGGTGGAATGTGGCTCTACTCACCTTTCCACATTCCAGTTGCCTCTTTTCAAAGTGGGGACTATTGTGAAGCTGATGATTATGATGCATATTCGGTCTTTTCATTTCTGGGCTACGCACAAAGACCAATTACCATATATACAAGAGCCAGGGTTTGCCTTCTTTCACTGTGTTGGCTCGAGCGTGGGCAGGGAATTATAGCTGAAAAGTGGGCTGAGGATCTCAATTTCTACAGGGGCTATAGCCGCTTCTTGGCGCGAAGGGGTTAACAAACGGGCTATTCATTCCTAAAATAACTCCAGAAGAACGCGTTCATTAAAGGCAGTGACTGTACATGTACATTTAGGGCACACGCCGTAATGCAAGCAACTGCGCAAGCATTCAATTTCCTATACCTCAGTACACAAAGTTTTAAGGATGCAGATCACCATTGACAAATTGCGGCAGCGATCATAGGGTACAAAGGGGTTTCGTGGTTATGAAACAGAGGGTGTGTAGCAAACACTCGCTGTGGCTATGGCTATGGCTATGGACGTACTGCGCACGCCAGAAAGTGATAATTGGCTAGATGACATAGCCCGGGCAGTTCAAACTCCTTCTGTGTCCTTCCTCTATGGGAAAAACAAGCACCCTGGATAGATCCTTACCCCCTTCTTAATATCATGACTACTCTGCAAATAATATAGTTTTTTTCAGTGATGGGTGTGGTTGAGCCTGGTTCCCTCTGCACTTTCCAATGGAAGGATCAGGAAACCAGCACGTTCTTAAATAGGTGTTTGTATGTGTTTGCCTTTTGAGGAAAGTGAAGGCAGAATTCTTTACTTGAAGTCACTGTGTTGATTTTTGCAGAAATTTATGCCAGGTGTTCTTGTAACGCCACATCTGGTCGTCTCTTTTCATTCACGTTGTTGTATTCTGAGGTAGGCTTTGTGGCAGGGGAAAGCAGCTGCACCTTGACACATGCCTTCTGCTAGGTAACTTCTACAAAGATTGATGCCTAGCTATACAGTGACACTGGTTCAGCCAGGGACACGCTTAAATGGTTTGAATGCACAGTACATGTACTACAATAAGCATTTTGGATTATTCCTGTGTATAGGTGGTGGACGGTCAGAGCCCATTCCGGTAGAAATTAAGACAGGTGAGTATCATGTATACGTACAGCAGGTGCCCTCTATTGACTCCATGGATAATGACAATGGTAGTACCTTATTCAGCATTAACGACAGAGACATGCAGGTAACATACAAAAATATCAAATATGCATTGTATAAAACCAGGAAAAGACACCAACACAAGGAAACTCATGGAAAGTGTAGGGCTGCCAAGGAGCATAAAACAAAAGTGCTACAAAGAGCTGTCTCCAGTGAGGCGTGTCTCTCCAACCCTTCACAAGGACAAACACTGGAAAAGCTTGAAAGGGGTGTATTGTTGATATCATTTGCTATCCTAGAGCAGCACTGGAATGTATTTTCTATTTGGAAAATTTGAACAAAAGAAAAGAAGATGTAATCCTATGTGATGCATTCATGTGGGAGAACAGCTGTAGAGTAGTTGTTGACAAAAGTGAAAACAGAAAGTGGAATTTTAGGGAGTTTGTTGGATTGCTGTGTTTATGGCCCATGAAAAGTATGATTTATCATGGATTGCAAAGGGGATCTTTGTTACATAACCAACAAAATCCTCTGTAAACTGTGCTGTGTTCCTAAGGTAGAGGGGGCTTGGGACGGGAAAGAGAAATCAAGGACCAGCAGGAGCGGCGGAAGCAACAGTTCCAGGAAGCGCTGCAGCGCCGCGCTGCCCAGGAGCAGGTATACAGGCAGGACTTTAGGCAGCGCATGAGCAGCAGGTTCACTGACAAGGAGACGGAGAAAGACTTGGACAAGAGCCAGAAGGCATGCGAGCATCTGGATCGGCTACAGGTTGGTCGGTCTCACTCCTTGGGATGAGGAAGGTAGACAGGGCTAACAGAAATGGGAATGTGAGGGAGATACACTTTATTTCCGACATGTAGCACCATTTCAAATGGTAAAGCAAAGTGAAGGGGTAATGCAGATGATGTCTGTAAAGGACAAAAACCACCTTTTTAGTTGAATATGCTGTAACTCTGTGTTGGGCATGGACAACTGAAATCAAGAATCTACTTGATAAGATTTTAGATCTGTTCAATTGCATCCAGAGCTAATTTCTGCTTCAAATTTGTAATTTAAGTCCATCTGTGTTTCTATGGTGGCAGAAAACTTGGACAGGACTGTGATTATAAAAGATGAGGTATTTGTGTCAGCCATTCCAAGTGTGTTGCTGCAAGCTTTGATGCCTTAATAAAAGCTATGTTTTTCCTCATTCTTGATAAAGTCATTCAAGCTCAGCAAGGTACAGTCTTCCAGGCAAAAAAAAAAACACATATTGTCAAGAATGCTGTGAAGTGGGAAAACCCTCCAAGGTCAGAAATTTCGTGCTAGCCAGGAAAGTTCCTCTGGGCTAAGAATGCTTCAACAAACTAGGCTGGTTCCTCCAGCTAACTGCCCTTCTTGGATTGATTCTTGTTATTACAGGAGATTGTGGAACCTGTGGAGCCTTGGTATTGGCCCAAACAGCCTCCTAAGATGCAGGAAGATGAAGAAGAAGAGGTGGAAGAAAATGAGTGTGGAAGTGACATGACTGTAAGAATGTAGCCGTTCTTCCTTTCACAGACCTCAACAAATAGACATATTACTTTTCACAGCTTTGATTCTTGGTGTATAGAAACTGGGTGGCTGTTTACCAGTCTGGCTTACTGTAGTCTGCTTGCGTGGCACGTGTTTATTTTCTGCTGTGTTCTTTGATAAAAATGACACGTTATAAGCCGTAGATTAGATGAACAGGGAAATTAAAATGAGCTGTAACCACTTGCTGCCGGGTGTTTTTCTCTGGAGCAAGACAAGATGCTGGGTCCTTTTCAAGATTTTCCGTTTTCGAAATTCTTCAAAAATGCATCATTTCATTTATTGGCCGTTAATACCTACATGAAGGACTCTTTGGGCACTACTCTACAGCTGACAGAGCCTTCATTGACTTTTGAATATTTCAGCCAGGCCTGCAACCTTGGAAAAAGAGCCCAGATTGTGCGGTGTTACGTAAGATTCTTTTTTTCCTGAAACCGGCACAGTGCACTGCTGACCTCTTTTCAATAGGGGCCAGATTAGCATGCAGCGGTGCTGTGTGGCTCATCGCTGCAGTGGTGGAGAGCTTTTGTCCCTGGTAGTAATCCGCTAGTTCTAAATGCCTCAAACCGTGGTATACTGTTTCAAAACAAGGCTGGATTATCTCCACTAGCACGGTCTTTTGTTTTAAGGCCCAACTCCTTTGTCCCAGTTCCGGGCTCCCCGGCTCTGCATATAAAGCCTATGGACTCGAAAACGGGTCGCCCGGCAGTGAGTGGTTAAAGGCCTTGTCTGTGTTGAAGTTTAGTAACAACAACAGCATGGTGATGGTAAATATTTATACTACGACCCCTGCTAGTAAGTTGGATGTGGTAATGTGGTTGAGCCCATCACAAGTAACAAGATGACCAATGAGCTTGTCACAGTTTGGTCAAGTAGTGTTTTACCTTGAAATTAACAATTTGGATTTATTTTATGAATTGATTTGCAGTCGGCTGAAAAACTCGTCCATTTAACTGGATACCTCCGCAGACAACACAGATACTGCATATGGTGTGGGACATCATTTGATGGTAAGATTGGTGGTCTTACATCTTGTACATGTTCCCTGATTGTCTCTGCTTAGTAGCATTTTGTGTGCAAATACACTGGCTGCAAGAGTCCTTGGTCATTTAAGAATCTACTTTTAGGCTTAACTGTTGCTGTAGACAACTCACCAAGTACAACAGGATGTGTAATCGAGAGCAGTTGACTGCCCACTGATATGACGTAGATGGTACCTGTGTATAACCATGGGCATTGCAAGGGGGGGGCAACAGGTGTGCTTGCCCCCGCCCCCCGAGAGAATCGGGAGAAAATGGGGGAGAGAAAGAAATGAAAGAGATGGAAAGAACAAGAGATGGAAAAATTACAAACTTGCTTGAAAAAAACCTCAAAATTGACCCTCTTCTATTGTGAATGGTTTATCAGTTTGTTGCTGATGAGTGCTTTCCTTCCCCCCAAAAAAATGCCCTCCTTAAAAAAGTGCAACTCCCCGACACCCATGTATGTGAATATTAAAAAGTGAATGGGCTTTAACCTTGTCCTCAATCCCCCATATTTCAGTATAATTTTACATACACCCTAGGGGGTTAAGGCTAGCTAGTCAAACTTGCTAAACTACGGCCGTATCCAAAACAGGCATTCAGAGCTACGGCTTGGTCTATTGTCTGTGTTTCTTATGGAGCAAAGACGTATACCTAGCTCTAGACAATAAATTTGGATGCAGCCAAGGTCCCAATGTGTGCCGTTGTTGATAATGAGCATTGCAACAAAAGGTATGTCAGAGGGTCCCGGATTGATAACTTTTGAATGTGTCTTGACATTGCATTTGTACATTGGCTGAACCACAATCAACTGCTGTCCTCGGGTGGAATTTGCCCACAAATCGCAGCAGCATAGTGTTTGAGCTGTCTGCTGCCCTCTTTTGACGTGCCTCAGTGGCATATTCAAGTACAAATTTGGCATTCCTGAATTCCCCCCAAAGTTCCGCATGCCACAACAAATAGAACCAGAACCAGAATAACGAAGGCCACAAATGGTCTCAAGCAACCAACAACTGGCAATCATTGGCCATAATGATCCGAACGCATCCCCGAGGCTAATTGGGCAAAAAGATTGATTGAATTGTGCTTAGACACTTGTCAGTCAGTGTCCTTGTTGGGTGACCACTTTTCTTAAAAAGTTCTTAATTTAAGTGTGTATTTAAATACATTGGGCTTACCTCAACAAGGTAACACTTACTTGTTGGGGAGTTCATCCACCCCCTCTAGATACACGAACTGTCCTTTCTGTTTTATTGCATCAAGACTAACAAATAATACTACATGTACATGTACCTACTCAACTGCACGCCACCTACAATGTTGCTGTTGTGCTATCAAATCGGAGTCTTCAAGAACAGACGAAAGACTGCGTTGCTGGGGTTCTAAGCCACAGAATCTTGCTAGTTAATGAAGGTGGCTCAAATCACTCAACTTTTACATATTCATCAGGGTTTTTCAGAAGTTCTCTGTGAAACTCTGATTATTTTTTTTTTCCTTCAAGATGGCAATGATTTGGCAGACAATTGTCCTGGCGACACAGCTGATGACCACAGGTAGCAGAGGAGTTTTGTGAAGCAGTGCATGAAGAGACTTTGCATAGTGTATATGTGTGTACCTGAAGACTTTCCAATTGCATATCAGCATTGCCACCTGATGGTCAGGTGGCTTATATACCACATCTAATTTGCTTTATTGCTGGTATCTGGATAAAGGGCCACTCAGGTAGATTATTTTGTCAAGAACTAGTATTTTACACAGTCTGAGTTGTTACTTCAAAAAGGTTTGCGTGGCAGTTAAAAGTCATTTCAAATGGTAGTCTTTGATGGAGGTTTTCAAGCATGGTTATTATAGGATGGAATGACATATACTATGAGAATGTAACAAAATATATTCGATGGAAACCATCTTAGACTTACTTAAGCTCTTTTCACGTCAACTGGACTACACAAGGTCCTTTTTCGTAGAACTGGTTTCATTCCATCTTAAATGAAAGCTCATCCCAGAAGTGAGAGATGGCCTTAGAATTTTCAAACAAATTACACAAAATCAACACCATGGGTCACCAAATGGCTAATAAACTCAGTTCTGAAGATAGAATCTGCATTAACCACTTCGTGCCAGGGCATTTTTCAATGTTGATGATGCTGGGCTGGTATGACTATCATTTTTTCCGTTTTCAAAATCCTTCAACAAATCATCATTTTATTTAACGGTCGTTTATAGCCACACGAAGTAATCTTGAGGCACTACTCTAAGTTGACAGGTGACCTTCATTGATGCCCGAGTATTTCAGCCAGGCCTGCAGCCTTGTAAACAGAGCCCAGATTGTGCGGTGTTGTATATGTGTCTTTTGTTCACGAACCTGGCTCAGTGCACTGCTGACCTCTTTTCAATAGGGGCCAGATTAGCGTGCAGCGGCGCTGTGTGGCTCATTGCTGCGGTGATGGAGCGCTTTTGTCCCCGGAGGTAATCCGCTCACTCTCAATGCCCCAAACCGTGGTATACGGTTTCAAAACAAGGCTGGATTATCACCACTTTTGAAAGTGAAAAATGTTGGTAATGCCCAGGAGCCTGGTCTTTTGTTCGGAGTACGGTCTTTTGTTACAGGGCCCTGTTTCCTTTGTCCGAGTTTGGACACCCCAGCCACGCATATAAAGCATACGTCTCCGATTCCGCAGTCCCCGGCAGGAAGTGTTTAACTTGCTTCATTGGTTCTAACTTGATTGCTGAATTTGCTGTTAACATTTTAAAGTTTTGTATTTCCTGCTGCAATGTGTATTCCTGGCGTTGGATACAGCAATTCTGAAATTAAACAAAATGGCAACATCTGCATGTACATTCTGTAAACACAGTACTGGTTAAGGATACCTCCACACTTCTTTGAAGGAACATACATGTGATGTCTTTGGGTTGATCTTGTGGAGTTCCTGTATATAAAATGTCGTGAGCTGTGGTATAGACTCCACAGAACTTGTAAAACAAGAAACTTTCAGAGAGCAAAGATTTCTCTTTAAACCCCAACCCTAGGATGTGTAAAAAAAACTACCGAAAGTTGAAGACTGGAGTTTGCTTGCTTTGACTTTTCCTTGCCAGTTTTTGGTAGATTCTTGCAGGAATGACGCTGGGTGTGTTTTAGCATAGCTGTATGAAACAAAATGCAACTCCCAATATGTAGTAAGTTTTCACTTGATTTGCAATTAAACTTTTTAACATTTTTTTCTTAGGGGATGCATTCATAAGCAATTTGTTTTGTACATGTGCGTGTTATTGTTCAATATATTTAACCTTTCACACCCTACTACCATTGCATCTTGTATTTGGTTCAACGTACGTCAAAAACGGTGTCTGTTCTACTGGTGGGAATTCCATCTACTTATTTTCATTATCCACTTTTGACTACCATTCTGTTTTGGTTCTGAAACTGAAGATCTGGAGAAAAAAAAATGGTTTTTTAACCTTTTCAGTATGATTTTAATGATTTTAACCTTTCCAGTCGTAACCCAGTCTTTAAACTCATGGAACAACGCAGTTAGAAATGACTACCAGGGAGCAGCATTTATAAAGTCCATTTTTGTAATGGACTGCCGTTGTGGTGTCTTGTTTTATAAATTCAGTATTTTGGCCAATAAATACCATGCCCGAGGCACATTCATTGTGGAACAGCCGTATTTACAAGTGGTTACACAAATGTGGTATATATGCATGCACAAAGCACAGTATTTAATTTTGGAAACTGGGGGTGAGTATTTGAGAATCCGGCATTGAATTGTTTGGAAATGCAGAAAACTAGACAGGAAATTATCAAGGTTTCTCTTGTCACTAATTTTAAGCTTTTTATATACACAGGTTGTCAAAGACAGAAACTACATGAAATGAACTTAGCATGACTTCTTCAGGCAAATGAAATGCACACCACTTAAAGACATTGTAGAGTTGCATGTTTTCAGAGTAAGAAAACCATTTATTGCACAGGTGCAGAAGCAGGACAAGCGATGAACAGGTAACCAGTAATGAGGTACTGTGCTTTGGTGTACATTAGAACAATTGTCCAAGACACAGAAAAACTGAATCAGATGCCCACAGAAGGCATTAAAACAGAGGGAGGCATGACAGCAGAAAAGTTGCTTTATTTGTAGACTTGAGAACTACAAAGAGAAAAAAGTTGGTGCTCCTCTTTAAAAATGAAAAGAATTAAATTTGTAAACCAATCATTAAAAGCTGCCAGATTAACTGATATTTTGTCAGGATAAGAAATACATAAAATGTCTAATGCTGTCAATTTGAAAGCACATTTTGACTTTCTAAACAAATACACTGGACAGTAAAAGAAAATTCACTCCATAGAAATAAACAATTTTTGTACATAGGTACATGAATGCCGCAATACCCCTTACTAATCACATGCCCCAAAGCAAGTGATTATCTTTATAACAAAGAAGAAATTGACATGCACAGCAACTTAGTTACTGAATCAAAAGTCACACACATCAGCACTCTCCACCAAGCAAAAATGACCCATGAATGGACAACATTTTAATCAAACCAATGACAACGTGAACACCTGTTTTGTCAAAATGATGTGCATGAGTGGTTTCTGTATAGGGATGCCATCCTTGCTGACTATGCATACACATTATTGGAAAGTAATTGTGACTTCTTTATTTCGTCCTGTGACGTTGATTTCGGCGTAAACTCAAGGCTCATTCCGTTACATTCCGTGACTTTGATTCAGTAACCAAGTTGCTGTGCATGTCAATTTCTTCTTTGATATAAAGATAATCATTTGCTTTTGGGCATGTGATTAGTAAGGGGTATTGCAGCATACCTGTGTACAAAAATTGTTTATTTCTATGCAGTGAATTTTTATGTGCGGCATTTGACAGAAGTGGCAAGTTTCTTTTGCTGTCCAGTGTACTTTGGTGACTGGCTTTTCCCAGTGCTGGAGAATCAAAAAAGCAAATGGCTGTTCTGTCTGGGGAACAAAAGTATGGGTAATTTATGACAATGTTATTTTGATGCATCACGTCCTAGGAGCAAGAAATTTTGGACACAAAACATTTACAGTTCCATTTCAGTTAAGGTTTTCTTAGGGAGTTAATTTCCCTCCATTTGCCCCAGCTGAAGACCTGGAAATGTTCAGATCTTTTCATTCACCGTCTTACACCTACCCTCCTCGGCATGTATTTTCCACTGCATTGCTGGCAGGAGGAAGCACTAGCCTCTTACAAACTACCTGAATCCTGGTCCCAAAACTGAAACACATAACCCTACATCCAACAGCAGTTTTGAGCCCTGGGGGCAAGCCACATTGAAATGTACTGACACTATCCACACAGGTATGGCAGAGATTTGCTGACATGCCTCCTCTTTAATCAAGGTACATGAAATGAATTGATGTAAACTTGTTGCCTCAGCACCCATATTTCAGGATCCTAAAAAGAACCAAACCAGGAAATAATTTCAACCCTACACTAAGCTACTGTGCTTGACAGTATAGTTGCCAGGTCCATTATTTCGCCACTTACTGTGAAAACCAATCGGACTTGATACTAGGTGGTGAATTAGGGACCTGGTGACTTCACCGTCAAGCACGTTTGTTCTTGTTCTTCTGTTTGTGAGCAGAATATTCTCACTCTCAAAAATCACAGAAGTGCTCATTTAAAAAAAAAACTTGTTAATATACAGCATTCAGGTGATGTTGGTTTGCTAGATAACGTTTAGAACCAGAAAAAAAGCACCCTTGGTTTAAACAATCTGGAAAATTATTGCCTAATCTAGTAAGCACTCATGCTATTATTGCTACGTTCAGTTGTAGTGTCTGATGAAACCTGGAGGGCTTTCACTGTGTAATTATTGAAAGAGTGTAGCTTTATCACAACGGTACCTGGAAATCATTGCTATACTAACTAGGCTTCCACTGAAGCCCCAGAGGGTCACCAGTGGCAAGAGGGGAAAATGAAACTGCCCACAAATAGAAGAACAGTCTGACCATTCAAATTAACTACTTAAAAAAAATGACATTAAATTAAAATCATTTTTAAAATTCCGGAAATAAAAATACATAGGAAATTAAAACAGCTTTTGGTGCACACCATTTCACCGTGTGAGACCACAAAATACTTACTTGAATTATCTAGCTACATGTACTTCTTGTTTGGTCAAAATTTGGGAAAAAAAGGGCACCAATCAGAGTCCAACCTTCTGCAGGCAAGCTCTTGATCAAAGCGAGCGAGACTAAACAACAGGAGACTAAAAATAACACAATGGTCCCACTAGTAGCTGAATATCATGCATGTCCATGCACAGAAACAGAACTGAATGAGCTGAGATTGTACAAACTCACGTTGACATGATGATGAGTACATCAGTTTCAGTGAGTCCGCCGTGGGGTTCTTTTCAGCAAAAGTTGTTCTCACCTTAACCTTTGGCTATGCATGACAATCTGCTCACAACCGCTCTTAACATGTTCCAGTCAGCTACACTGTGTTACTGGACTCTGATGTTTCCCCTGCACTGCCTGAACGTCTCTTTAAAGTTGGCCTTCCTGTCATTTACTCTTCCCCTGTGCCAATAAAATTATGAAGACAGTGACTGGGAACTTAAATCTATCATGACTGGCCAGTAGCCATTTTGTTACACCCAGAACAACGTTGGCCATATTGACCTCCACTGACTTACAGCCAGTCTGACGCTTCACTTGGCTGACAAACCATGACCAAGAGCTCTCAAAAATAACAACCTGCCCTCTTTCATTATTGTTTTGTTCCCATTGGAAGGGGGGGCACTTAAACACTATGTTCCATCAACCATCCATTATAAGAATGTCTTCTTTTCTAGCAGCTTTCCCATGACTTTCATCAAAAAGACGGCCTATAAAATTTGCTAGCATTCAATAACTTTTTTCAGCCTTCATTTACATGTACATTTGGTATGGAAGTTTCCTCTGTACTACTGCCATTTCCACAAGATGGAAATACTTGTGTAGCCACTAATCAAACTTGTATCTTGACCTATACACCTCTCCCATTATAAATTGATGTAAAGCAGGTAGACTGATGCAACACGTGGCCTCTGATTGGTGCACAGCTTTTCTGTCCCCTCCAATCAACTAAACCCAGCTGCTGTGCATTAAAAAAAAAATCATTCCACCAAAAAAAAAAAAGGCAAAAATAGTGGCTTCATTTAACTCCTTGCTCTCTACCTAAAAATCATCCAATAGTAACTCTCTAATAAATATACAATTTATTATTTTGTTGAAACATTTCAATACTTTTGTAAGTCTCCTTAATAATTCCTCTTAAAACTTTACATACCTCCATCAACTAGATTAATAATAATACCCTTACAGCTAGGAGTGTTTGGCTGTAAAAATTGTCTCTATCTTATTCTGTACATAACCAGTATTTTATTTACACGTAGATCTCAAAGCTGAATATATATTTGTCCCCACATAGTCAAATGTGCCTGTATATTCTCAACTCACTTCTCTCATTAATACTATACGAAGCAATTACAATATACATTGTATTAATTATATACTCAGTCCTTTGTTTTACAAAGTTAAACCGCACACATCACTAAAATCTAGATCCATCCATGGTGACAAGCCCCCATCTGATTATGTTTTTCCTTGCAAAAAAGGGGGCAAACTGAGAGAGATTTTCCACTGAAGCAACACACTGGAAACTTCCGAAATGGCAGAATGTGGCATTTCTGAATGTCTTTTTTCATACATGTAGTTGGTGATTTCCCAACTATTTCAGAACTCAACAATAATTACCAGCTACTTGACCTATGTGGGACTGAAATGTCATGGGTGCCAATACATCAGCTTCCCATAAGTAAGATGCCAATATTCAAGTGAAACAAAACAAAAAACAAACAATAACCCCCTCCAAAATAAATAAATAACCAAAAAGCCAAAATAAGTAAACAAACAAACAAACAAACTGGGGAACCAGAAACTAGAATTCTGAAATTATTGTTGCCTTAGAGATGCTAATGGTCCTTATTCATGAGTTGTTCCTTATGTTCATTTGACTCTTGATTGGCAAGGTGTCAGAGTAATCTGTAGTGATTGCTGAGTTTGTCTCACTTTAAAAACTTTTTTTCTGAGCCGAAGCAAGACATGGCCTGCCTGCCACGATTCCAATTCGTGAGAGTACTAGAATCGTCTACAATTTGGGTTGGGTAAGTCTGTAGTAGCACCTTGTAGAAGCAACCTCTAGTAAGGGTTGGTAAGGTTGTAGAGATGAAACGGTGAACTCCACGTTTTACACAGTATGTTCTGCTATCGGGAAAACAACACAGGGATCATGCTCAGTTTGAGTCAAAATAGTCAACCCTTACGAGGAGAATGCTATTAAAATGTCGCAACTCCATGTATGTTGACCTCTTAAATGGCCGAATTGTAACAATTAGTTCCTGTTCTAAATTTATGATAAGCCCTTCTTCCATGAAAGGAAAGAAAAATGCATACTTAATATTTCACAAACATGTAGAAACTTCACAAGGACCATAGAAATCTTATTTTTATAATGCTTTGGCATTGAATATCTGGCAACTTAGAAGAAATCCGGCAATTCGTACCCGTTGTCAAAAGAAACCTGAACTTGGCTTAGAAGATAATTCTCACAAATTGACCGTCTGCACTTACAAAATAGATCCATCCCTCACAGTCATGCATGCACACTGATACACCCTTTACTACTCAAAGAGACCACATAACATTGCATCAACTAAAAAAAAAGTCTCTATAATACAGTTATCATAAATTTGTATCCTGTGTTTTGTCGAGATACATAGCTGCGCTCCAAATGACAAAAACAAAAATCTCAATTTGTACACCTGTACATAAAACACTTCTTTTTTGGGGAGTGGGAGTTGGAAATGATACTTATGTGTTCTGCTCCACAGAAGAGGAAAGCTGTTAGCATCTATAACTAGGAGTGGTGGGTGTGCGAGGGAGCCTTAAAACCTCCAAGAACCTCAGGTGATGATCCATGTGCAAGGACTGGACTACACTACATCAAAATACCACTGCACCTGATATGAGGCCTGGTCAACGACCTTGGCCTCCACCTCAGTTCTTCAGGAGACCTACATGTACTCTGTATTTCCTTTCAATGGACCAATGCAACTCTGTAGATCGTCCTCACATGGTTAAGTGTCCGACTTGCTCCTTTCCTCCGCATTTGCAGGCCGCATCCTCATGCATGTCGGCTACGGGGTCAATCTTGGAAGTTGTGCAGTCTTTTCAGTGAGGCATTCTCCTCTGCTTACGACACAACCATCTGCATGCAATTGGGATTAAATATTTCGATGCTGGACAGACTTCCCGTCGGTTATTATCGGATCTGTGTGAATAACTTGCAATCTATTACAGAGTTAGGGGACTGAGGTGCATGCTATCGGATCGGTTTCCAGTAGTTCTAAGAGCTGGTAATAGTTTCTTCGTTAACTCTCACTTCACACAGATATTAGCAATTCACTCCATTTGAGGGTTCTGACAATGTACGTATAAGTGGCCCCCTCTGCTTCCAAATGCTACAGTGGCATCCCATTTACCTTAATGATGTGTAGCAAACTCCTGAATATTTATTAGGAGCTTTGCATGATGATGAATTATTGAACAAGGGGCTCAACTCATGCACGGGGATGCCATGTGGGTCATTGCCGATGACTGAGTGTGCCCATCCGAAGTGTTCAAACTATCGGGGGGGGGGGGTTCGCACTGCTAATGCCAGTGCTTGCTGCTTGGTGTTCATTTCTTGTTGGCTTTCTAGGTGCTCCTTATGGTGGTATTTCTTTCACTAGAGGGGACACAGAGTCAGCTCCTATCTGTCCTCCAGACAAATTTTGATGACTTTCCATGGCATGTTGATGCCATGTGGAGCTGAAAACCATCTCATGTCGGGAAATGCGGCGTGAAAATGCCATGTGTGAGTTCATCAATCTATGCGACTACGTTGCAGCAGTGACGTAATTCAAGCGAGGGTCCACTCCTCTAAGGACAGGACAACAGTGGCAGCTGAGTACAGTGCCTGGGCAGTTTGGGCAATGCTGATGTGGTTGGCTGTTTTACACACACACACAAAATGCTGTCTCTTGATGGTGGTGCATTGGGAGACTGTTGTCAAGGCAACGCTGTGTTCACAACTGCCAAGTCCGGTCCAAAGCTGCTGAAGCAAACCAGCCACAAGAGAAAGTGCTTGTGTTCAGTTAAGTTTCGTAGCAGCATACACCCATCCATGACAAACAAATAGTAAAGAATCACGCGAGAGACTGAAAGGATCGATCAAAAGATGCAGAAAACCATCCTTGTGGTGGTTCTTGGTTGATACTGTCACGCTTTGTGGCCACAAAATCTGTATGGATTCTGGACGCTTTCCCACTTGTCTAGAGTCCTTCAGCTCTTGCGGGACAATGCGTCAAGAGAGTCCTAGGCATTCGTCTTTCTGAGTCCAGGAAGACGATGCTGGGGGATGCTTGAGGGAGAAGATGGAGGGGCAAGGAGTGGGAGGGAAGTTGCTAGGCGACCACGCTGGCTTCTTGTCATCCTATATGAAAGCTGGTCAGGTGGTGAAGAAACTTGCTCTGTTGCTGTAGAAGGAGCAGGAGAGGACACAGACAAAGTGAGACAGGAGGAGGAGAAGGGGGAGGGGACAGGACCCACAAGACACCACGGAGAGGGGTAGGTGCAAGAGAGAGGAGTGGATCAGGTTGGGAGACGGGGAGGAGTAGGTCAGAGTGTGAGGGGAGGAAGAGAGAACAGCAACAGTAAGAGAGGGAAAAGAAAAAAAATAACAAAGATATTGTTATGAGATAATCAAAAAAAACGAACTTCAAATTGTGCTTTTGCTCTACCTTTCGAATACACTTCCGAAACAAAAAGTAGGAGGAGTTCAACACTATTGGTATATCATAGTCTGTGTATAACATAACATCAAAGATGCTATGTACATCTCTGGAACATGATTGATGTGTATTTGTTTTTATAACAGAGATACTGAAATTCCACAGAAGTGCTACATGTACGATATGCATTATCAGGAAGGGAAATCTTGTTTGACACTGTTCTGAACCACCAAACTCAGAATAGCTATGCACTTATGCTGTGCTGATGACAAATAAAAATACCAAAATTAAATTCAATACAAGTAGTTGGTTAAAATAAACACATGGGAATTCGGGTGGACACACTGTATATGGATTCACAAAAACAATGCTACGATTACTGTATGATCAAACAGACTCCATAATACTGACAACACTCCATTATAAACCGAAGACAGGTGTTGGGTTGTATCTGAAAAAGAGCCACATTCCTAAGACTTGCTCAACGAAACCCAAAAACCTCCATCACATTTTAGTGAAACCCTCTGCATTGTGAGTGACAATCTCTTGAACAGGGAAAAAGGAATCAAAGATTGCACTCTAAACTACTGCAATGTTTGTTCAACCTTGTTCCCCCTTGATCCAATAACTCCAATGAATTTTTTCCTTCATCATTTTCATGTTCCTTTTGCCCAACTGGCTGTCCTGATCAAAGATGAGACCAAAAACTCATCACAAATGCAAGTAATTACCATGACAACATCAGTTTTCAAGGGGTTCAGGGTTTGCCAAGATTCAACACATTCATTCATTTTGTTAGCAGGCTGTTTTTCTTAGCAACTAAATCAAAGAAATTAGAACAACACAGTATAAAAACCAATTCATGGGGGGGTGGGCATAACTGGACAAACACTGACTATGTGGAATAAGGGGGAAAACCAGAAACAAACAATGTAAAATAAAATGAAATATATAAACAAAACTCAAAACCAAACAAAAAACAAAAATAACAATCCCAAAACGAAAACACCACTCAAACAAAGGTAAAAGGTAGTTGGTTTGTCAGTATCTGTTTGTTATAGCTTGTCTGTTAGTGAGATACATGTAGCACGGCTAATTGTCCACTTTTTGAGTTACATGTCAAACTGTTAGTACATTTATTGATCACATGGTGGCCATATTTCTGCCACTGTCTAATCCTCTGTCAGTTGGTCTGTTCCATTATCTTTCTATCTGTCCACTAGTATGTCATTGTCAATACTGGCAGCTATACTGGCAGGGCTAAGTGTTAGTAGCGTATTACTGTGACAGTCTAATTAATGACTGCACTAGGTGGGCCAAACGACCATTGCTAAATGTCAGGGGAAAAAATGGTTAGGGTGAATATAAAGAGTTAAGGGTGAGGGTGAAGGCGTGATGACATGTTAGTGTGGATGCTGCAATGAAAGTCAAGAGCTACATGGAATCGGCACACTGAGGTGGCTGGGATATCAACAAATGAATGGGTACGTGGATATCCACTAATGGTGCAAAGAAAAGTGGACATACATCCAATGCTGAGCAGGGATGTGAATATCCATTACTGTGATGAAGGGATGTGGATATCAACTAAGAAATCAATTAGTGTCATGAAGGATGTCAATATTAGGCAATGGTAATGAAGGGGTGTGGATATTAATCAGTGTGATTAAGGAATGCATCAATGCTGTGGCACGGTGCTGATATCCACTAGTGTTATGAACAAATGTGGATATCTACTAGTGGTGGTTATCAACTAATATGCAATGAAGAAATCAACCAATGTCACTGATAGGATATGGATATCCAATCAATAAAAAAAAGAACAGAGTAGATATTCCGTGATGGTAGGATTGCTGGGGATGTTGCATAATGTTGTGGAAAGGTGAAGAAGGGCAACTTGTATTTTGAGGGGAACTGGAAGCATTACGTATTGATACATAACTTTCAGACCGGCACCTTTGGAGCCAGAATGTTAACGTTACCGAAGTAATCAATATCTAAAGGCATCTAATGCCAAGCAATCCCCACAAGCAACAGAGCAACTAAATATTGAACGATATCAACTAAACATGAAACTTACTTCAAAATGTTGACAATTTTTATGGGGGGAGGGAGTGAAAGTTTTGAACTTCCTTCTTGCAAAAACTGGTTTAGACTCTGCACTGTACAAGAACAAAATCTCGGACAGATATTGGACCTATGTAAGAGGGATGCCCCATTTGCATCAAAATCTACAGCACTAAACTATTCCATGAGGGAATGCCACTGCTTGTCAAATAAACTTTCCTAGCTGAAGTCAGGCCCATATTTGGAAGATGGGGGGATGCAAAATATAAGACGTTTGGAGCACAACTTAATATGAGATCACAATTGCAGCAGCTTCCTTATGCTGAAAATCATGCTAATTTTGCTGCAGGAAAAAAAGCTGGAAGTACACTAAATACAGTGGAATCTCTCAGAAGAAAAAAAAATCCCTATGTAACGTGGCCAGTGTGTACAAATTTCAACGTCTGAATTGACTGCCGCAGAATTACTTTTTAAGGCCTTCCTTTGTTTACAAGTTTCGTCCCTCATGGACGCCCATTTCTGTACTCTTTCAGAAGACAAGACCTCCAATGTACGCCTTCATCTTCAGTATGAGGTTACTTCAAGTACTGATCAGACTTGCCTTAAAAATCACTACCTGCTGAAAGCAGCAAATGTCTAGAATTGGCCTCATTTTTACCCTGGTTTAGGATTAAAATAAAGAGAGGACTCCTGAGAAGTTTACAGTGGAACACAGTAAACTGAGATGTAAATTTGGTAAGAAATACACGTATCTTCTGCTTGGCAGCTATTAAATGAAATTGAAATGAAATGAAGGGCACAGAATTCAGTGGGGACAGGCAAGCTACTTGGCAACAAGTATTATTGCCAAACTCCAGTGTTAATCTACATGTAGCCAATCCCTGCTTCACAAAAAGATGTAAACATTCAGCAACTTAACAATAAAAAATTCAGTTGGCTTGGAAACTGCAATCAAGCACAGGTCACACAATAAATTATCTGCTCGCCATTTTTGGCTAAGCGAATCATTTTCTGCAAGATATTTGCCACGGCAATATTTATATTACTTCTATCCATTAACTTCTATTACTAATACTGTATTTTCATCGGCTCAGAAAAGTCAAATGACAGGTCAAAAAAAACGCGTACTACCCACATCCTTGTGCAGATTAGATTATGATATCACAGACTAGTCCTTGCCCTACAGTCCAAACCATAATGTAGGGTCTACAAACCAGACTACTTGCATTCACTGGTACTGCGCTATTTGCGACCATTCACTTCGTAAGAGTAACCTGCTGCTGGAGCAGTGAACTGGCATTCATGTGATGTGATCAACTGTTGGTGGAGCACTTTCATTTTTCTGTCAACACCAGATTCTACAATAGTGATTCTACATGCATGCCAGATCCATTTTACTTGATATCAATTTTTCACATCAGTTCCTTAATATGATGTTGGGACATAAAAATGTCTCTTTCGAGCAAGACGTGTGCAATCAAAAGATCAAAATTGTGCAAATTAAATGATCTGCTGGGTCCATGGGCATTGCAAAACTTTCTGTGCATGTAAAGCAACGGGCCAAGCCACTAGTCACTTCAGGAGTGGAAATTAGAGCAAAGGATTCAAGACAGAGGTACAAAAAAACAATTACAGATTGCTGTGACATAGGATACGGTGTTTCTAACACTCACAGGAATTCACAGCACCTGAGGTGAATAGTTAGAGTCCTTCAGATATCCCACATTACACCAGTCAATAATTGTGAAATGTCCCTACACTGGCATTGTTATTTCCCTTGTGGCCGTGATCTGCTCAGTGAATTTCCCTTTTAGTTACAGCAACAGCTTAACATACAGTCTGACTTGTTTCAAGTTCAAACATACTGTACAGTCCTTGAGAGCTCTTTCCTGATCCATGCTAAACATGAAATGTGTTGATGGGTCAATCTTCACTGACACCAAGGTTACAGCAAATTCAAGCAAAAAGTGAGATTCAACCCTGAGTAAACAAAGACAAGTGTGCTGAAAAGTTAAATGGAACCCTTGTTGAGTTTGCCACACACTCTTGTGCATAAAAATGATGGACTCTCAGCTTGACAAGGATGACATGTATACATGTATCCCCATTGAACCTAACAAAATGACACATAAATTGCTGCCCATTAAACAATGATCTATTCCTGTCTCAAAAGGAAAGAAACAAACTGAATGAGTTGAGGGAAATTGGGATACAAGAGAGGATTCCAAGAACTGTAGTTTCACAGAAATGCCAGGAGAATTAGTCACTTTAACAGCCTTTAGAGCAGATACAGTGAAAGGCTAGCCAGCAACAGCACAATGCATTCTACAAGTTTATAAAACACACATGTAGACGGGCATGGACCTGCACCATCTGGACAGGTATCACGGGACCTCATTGTCACAAAAATGGGCTCAGGCTTAGAATCTGCATGAAAATACAAGTTCTCATGACCAGCAGTCTTTCAAATGTTATTAGTGGCCACACATCATGCAAAAAATCTCAGAACATGGACTGTTTTTGCACTATTTTTAAATGTGAGGCTTTGTTTAAAATTTCTGGAGGCAATACACAAAGGCTAATTAACAAAGTTTACAGTGAGCCTATTAGGCCTTTTAAGCCCTTGTATCATGTGCATACAAGAAACATCATCCACATGACTGTAAGAATTACCACCATCTAGAAGTTAGTTCTTATTCTACTGGTGTACGAATTCTACAAGCAAGTTTGAGTGGGGACTATAGTTTGCTGAACAATAGATGGTTGGCACCATCTCATTGATCATTTGGAACCCGGCCATGGGGCATGATTGCACTGATGGCTATCAACATCACATGCAAGTATAGAGGGAACCTCAGCACGAAGATACCTGTCCCAAGGATGCCATTGACCATGTACGCCGCCGTGAGAACTGAAGCAAACAGCCAAACGTGACAATGAGATTTAACAAAAATAGCTCAACGTGGGATGCTCAAGGTGTACCGGTACTGCGGATATGCACTGTTCAAAAGCACTTGACTAGGGGTTCAACCCTAGTCTGTACCCAAACTTGCCCTACAATCTGGTGAGATGTGCAGCTATTAGTAACTGGTGCAGTGGCAATGCCAGAGAGGCGAAAGCCAGACACAGACTGACCAACAAGAAAAGCTCAGGAAGATGAAGTGATGGAACTCTTGAACTACATACCTCATCACTTCTTCTGCGTTATTTACAGCCAATTGGCAAATGCGGGTAAAATTTAACCATAATTATTAAGTTAGATAAGTGACTGCAATGTAAGGAGAGAAGTAGTGAAAACATTCTATAGTACAAGCATCGGGGGGGGGGGACTTTGCTCACACTGTTGCTGTAGCACAGTTCCAGTAAAAGAAACAAGAAACATCTGAGAAATGCTCACCACGCTGGTTGAAAATTCAAATGGTCTGACAATTTAAATTGCACTTTGTCAACTCTTTGTTTGACTGCTTCAGGAACAAAAGACAATCCTCAGTCACAGTGCGTTCCCAAATGTGGATTGCTGCAGATGTTCTCTAATCCTCTCTACTCAATTGACCAATTGCTAGTGCAGCCTAAAAACATATGGGATTTTATACGCCACTTCTAACCAAGTTCTCAAAAGTACAAAGACAAATGACTAACTTTCTTTTTAATTACAAGTAACACAAGCCCAAATCCTTGGCAGTAAAGATGTTGAATAATGTAGGCTCAATCCCCCAGTGGTGTAACGCTGCTGTCTCTTCCATTGCAGAGACTGCCACAGGAATCAATGACACGGGCAATGAAGAACCATCAGTTCATACTTCAAACATGCAGCAAACATTGTTGTTATTCCCCAACAGAATTTCTGACGTGATGTATGCCATTCCAAAATAAAGTTTGTTTTGTAGATAGAGTGATGTGTGGGAGCTGAGCTTCCAGGTGTGGGAGCTGAGCATCCAGGTGTGGGAGCTGAGCTTCCAGGTGTGGGAGCTGAGCTTCCAGGTGTGGGAGCTGAGCTTCCAGGTGTGGGAGCTGAGCTTCCAGGTGTGGGAGCTGAGCTTCCAGGTGTGGCTTCCATTGCATGTCTTCAAAGAGTCACAAAGTTTATGGATGTGCATTTTGACTTATGAGTTGTGTCTGTTCCAGGGAATATGGAAATAAACCTAGTTTGAAATATCATTCCATTTGACTTCAAAATCATCCTTTGTTTTCCTTAACATGTTAGTATTCAACTATTAGTAACTTTATGACCATTCACATGCAGGCGGGGTCTTCATGCTATTCAAATACATGTAGCAATGATGTCATTCATTCCGTCAATCATTTGTCATGCACATATTCATCAAGCAAGAGGCATATTCTTGATCATGCACATGCCATACAGGGATGAGTGGACTCATGTAATTTGCAGATGTGCTTTAAGCCACAGTGACGTTTCTACGACAGCATCTGGGTGACACACGAGCAGAGTCAGGGACAGATTGGTGATACAGAGGCGTCAGAAAGGAATGTTCCCTAAACAGAATCAACTTGGATTTCTGTTCACCGTTATCTGTTCATCAACATTTTTGTCGGATCTGTCAGGGTTAAATTTCAGGGGATTGAAAAAAAGGAGGAAATATTTTTTTATTCTAATGTCCAACCATGCACAAATCATGCAAACAAGCCCCAAACCTTAGGATTGTAACTTTATACCAACTGGGAAATGATCTGACAACTTATTTACAAAAAACTGACTAACCAGCCTGTCTATCATTGAAATGAGAAGACAAAAAAATATGAGATACGTGAACCAGCCACCAGTTTTGAGATCTGCCTTTCCTACTGAAATCATTTGAAGTTTGGGTTACTTGTTCACATCAACATATGCATGCACCAAAAAAGGGTTAAAAAAGACCAGGCAAATCTAATAATTTTCCCATCATGCAACTGAAATTTAATTCCAAAGTGCAGACGCAAGTGGGTCATTCCATGAGGTTGGGGCACAAGTTGTGACGGTGTCCTTTGTTACGTGGGTTCTGTAAAAACGAACAGATATTTCCTTGCATGTGGATTCCAAATTATGTATCTTCCAAGGCTGAATAAAGAGGTGTTGTTATTTTTACGGAGTAAATGACTTACTCTACAGGTCATAACAGGTTGTAAAAGTTGCCCATATAACAAGGACACCGTCACAAATTGTGCCCCAACCTCAAGGAATGACCCAAGTACTTACTGTACAACATTCAAGCATACCCTGGATAGAAAACATGCTTTGTTCATGCAACCAGCAAATGCAAACTGCAACATTCTGGAGACTTATTGAATTGACAGTGGGGCAGCAAACATTTGAAAGTTATTCTTTCTGTCAAAAGTACATATTCTTTCATATTAAGTTTTTTTTTTCTTAAAAAACTTTAGAAAAAGAGAGTTGTCATTACAGCTAATACAGATTGTCTCAACTTGCTCTATGATTCAAACTTATACAAACTGATCCACATCACACCTGTTCACATTTTATTTTATTTTTTTTTGGGGGGGGGAGTGGGCATGAATCTGTTTTTGTAAGTTGTCATCACATTCATGCTTGCACTGGACTTGACAGTTTGAGGCATGTCTTCCAAAGCTGCAGAGGAACTAGCCTAGTCAAACTGCTGTTATCCACATGTGCTTAACTGTGCAAACAGGAACTGAACACGCTACCCACATGTGAAAGGTTCCCACAAAATCAGTCTTGCCCTCGCCTTTTCAAATTTTGTTCTAACTTGCATACATGCAGAGCTCAGTTTGGCATCCTTATGAAATGGACATTACTTGGCTGCAAAATGGCAAAATGTCACTTAGGGCCATTTAACTCAAAAGTGGTTGTGGCGACTTGTGACTCACTTTCTTAGGTTGGGTCACATGCACCTGTTCCTTGCTTAAAAAACAAACTGAAAATCATCAATGATGCAAAACCAGAAGTAGTTGGAATACACAAGGCAGGAAAGGAACAGAGCGGTCATGCAGACAGACTACACATTCAAAGCGTGCACAAACTTGTTCATTGCTTGTTGCACCGGACGCTACCATGGGTTTGATATGACACCAGCCGTGTCTAACAATTACTGTGTGTGGTGTGTCCAATGGAACACTGAATTCAACAGAGAGAAGAGAGGCAGATGGGATAACTAGAGAAAAGGGGGTTGGGAAGTGGGAAGGGGGGATGTGAACCCAGTACCGTTATTATCACTTATCCAAGAAGTCCATCCTGTTTGCCAGACTTGGCAGTTTGGGTATGAGAGATTTAGTCTGCCGCGGTGGACGGGTTTGAGAGGACGAAGCCGCCAAAAACAAAAGGCCAGGAGGGAAGAAGGTAATAGTATAACATCGTTAAGATACACTGCCATGGCTACATATCTAATTCCATACAAACTGAACCTACATGTTATTCTTTTAAAATAGAGTCAGTCACTGATCTTTTCTTCCAGATGATCCTCTACAGCCCTATGGTAATAACCCTTTCAACTCAAGTAAACGCTGCAACTTGCAATCAAAACATTTACGACTATTCAAGATTTAAACTATGTCCTTGAAATTAAAAAAAAAACTTCTCTTCCAGACAAACTGACAAGACCACAGAAAGGGACAAAGTCAGGGCACTGCAATTTTGTCTTAATGACCAAAGGGAACATATAAACCTAGTAAAAATGGTTAGAAATAAAAGATAATGATAAAAAATGGTACGACTGAAGACACCTAAATCGTTTCTTACAAACCATAAGGCCTCGTTGATCAACTTAAGTATCCCATTACTCTCCAGCTACACAAGTTTTTTCTTGTCTTTAACTGAAAGAATGACTTGGAACCCCTGAACTGCAGAGATGAATTTATCTTGACATCAAAAACAAACACTATGTTGAAAAGGAAAACATTTGCACGTTTGTACTCCTTCCAGTAAAATCGGCAAGTCTATACTTTGAGATGATGCAGACACTTTTCTTTGTTTGATCTCTTTCTAGAGACCAAACGACGACAGGTAGCGAGAAAGCATCATCAAACTGGAAGACAGACATGTCAGTGCATTGCTGCTTTCCTTCCATGTCAGTGACCCAAGTCAGAGCCAAGCCAGCATATGAAATAGGCATTTTGATCCATTTTCAGAAAAAAAAACAATAAAGGGTAAATCAACAAATGTGACAATTTCTTACGACTATTTTTTCTCAGAAAAAATTTCAGTCCTATAGAAAAATAAATCACATCAATCATTTAAACGATTGCAAAGGGGATTTTTTCAAAATCTGCAATTGAAGAAAAAGCTTCAGCAGTACTAAAGAGCACCAAACTACTTATTGCTTTAATTTGAGAGACAGGAGTTGCGTTTAAAGAGATAATCTGCTTACACATAAACCAATCCCCCAATAAGCCTTTTGCAAGTTAAATTTTAATAAAATCTGGTACACTGAGTTGTTTAAATTCACGTACGCATAACACGTTGAATTCTCCACACTAAAAACACTGTTGCTATACCTTGCAATTCGAGGCAAGCTTTTGCTTAGTTACATAAGAGATGCTGTGCAACAATACATTGTTTTCAATGGAAAAGAAGGGCACAAAGGAACCACTCCATTCCAGAACTGGTGGTCGCTATGCAAAAGCTTGCCCTGAATTGCGAGGCATAGGAACAGTGTCATTAGTCTGGGGAATTCGAATTGATATGTTTATGTGCAATCATATAACTCAGTATACCAGATTTTATTCAAATTTAACTCACAAATGGCATATTTAAAGCTTTCAGGTGAATTACAAATGGGACAACACACTGGCTAAGGAAACAGGGCACCAACAGGGGGGCAAGGTACCAGCCAAAGCCTTAGAATAATGGCCTTATCTGAATTTGAAGAAGCTTGTGGCAGTCTACCCATTTTCTTCACTGACGGAGACAGAAATGCTTTTCTCATTAGCAAAGATGATTCTTCAAAGCCCCCCTCCCCCAATTAGATGTAATATGTCTTGGATGGCTGCTGAAGGTTCTTGGATAGAGTAAGATTTGAACCAACCTTTTTCTTGAAACACCTACACAAAGATGTCTTAGAGTCCAAGGCAAAGATTATTTCCAGAGGAATTGGAAGTCAATTGCAATTATCCTAGACAAAGACTAAGGGACAAGAATCACCCAGCTTTTTAATCTCTCAGTCTTTTCAGTGGGATTGGTGGTTAATACGGACAGATTTCTATTTTAAAGAATTATTTTAAATTTCAAGACAATGAATTTAGAAACTGAATTGGAATTTTCAAACACAAATAACACACCAACCATCTACACATTTGCCCTATGGATTCTAACCTGTAAAAATGGAAACAAAACTTTATTGTATCTTGGTTTTAAAGTTTCCTGCATTATTTACAATAACAACATAGGTAAAAGGACGATTTTAGACAGTTTTATTCAGCTAGAAATTTGACCAAAATAAGTTTACTCAAGTCAGTTTACAATCAGTCACTGATCAAAACAAGATGGCAGCCTTTTAAAGTAACAACTCCAGAGTGGTTTGTCTAGGAGCATTGTGATTGGTCAGGCTGGTACTTGTACCATCTTGACTTGGCAGGAGCAAGATGCAGGCAAATTTCAAAGTTAACGACTATGGGCAGGCGGTTGGGACTTTTCTTGACTTTACAATAACTACCTGGTGAACAGGAGGATAAGTGTTCGTTCAAGGGGTGTCTATAATACGGAGAAATCAAGTCATCTATGAAGGAACCATACCTTTTCCCAGTGACTCTGGCACTATGTGCAGCATCCAAAAAAAAAAAATAAAAAATCACATGAGTTGCAAGTGTGAAAGAAGGAAAAGGGTTACAGATGAAGGGCGTGAGTGTTTTGAGAGAAGGGGAAAGGAAACGGGGGATTCAGCCAACATGATGGAGGGATGAGACAAAAGGTAGGATGTGAAGAGGAGAGAGAAAGAGTATTCATTAAATTTGTGACACACAGTTCAAATGGATTCTTTTGCTGTAGACGGGAAGTAAATAGAAATATAGAAGTTTGGGACTGTGAGCAACTTTAGAAACTTCTAAAAACATCTGTATCAAAAGTTACTGCTGAAACCACAAGACTTAAAAATTAACCTTTTCTTGCACTGTAAAGGAGAATGGGCACTCAATGTGGGTTGTGTACCCAAAAGAAATCTCCGCACTTGTGGAAACATCGTTATCCCCCAGTTTCTCTCATTTGGACCAAAGTACGAATAGACTACATGTACTTGTGACAAACTCTCTCACATTTTCCCTGTGACTATGGTAGTTTCGGCTATTTCAATAAAAAAGAGAAAAAAACGACCTCAAATACGTTTAAGATGCACTACTGATGTTGCTTGAAAGCTAAACGGGCATACTTCCCATAAGATGTGGAGCTTGACTTGTCAGACTTATACGAAAGTACCGTCAACTTGGATATGGGGGGGAGCATGATTGGTGCAACTGAGCCAATACAGTACTTGCGTGTTGAGTATTATATTTAAGCTGGTGAATATAGCTATATCGAGGAAGCTCTGAGGAAATTCTGTCTCCAGTGCAAAAATGACAGCAGAATTGATACACTAATTCAAAGTGCGGCCTGATTTATTGGTGTGTTTGTCTTGACAATGAAATCAAGTCGACACCAAAAGATGGAAATGTGATAAATTCAGCTGTCAACAGAGGTGAAATTCCTCTGCTCCCAACAACTTGGGTCGAGGAAAAGAGCGCTATATCCAGCCAGCATTTTGCATATAACATGCCTTTCATGACAGTTGAACAATTCCACAATGCCAAATACAAGCGCTGGTGCATAAAACCAAAATCCCAAAGGCAAAGAGAATGCAAAACTATGGGACAAGCTTTACCCGAAGACTTTTCAAATTTGGTTCCCTGCAGGCTTACAAATGGAAGCTATGTGGTAACCAGTGTTTCCTGGAATGAGGCTGTGCAATACACAAAGAAAACTTTCCTCACAATCGACCAAAGAGAACCACCAAATGCCCACCTTTGGTGTGAGAGTAAAATTTCAGAATTGAAGCAATCAATAATTGCAAATGCTGCCTTCCATCGGATACTACCAAAGCAAAGGGGAAAAAAATTCTTGGCATATGCAGGAAAGTTTGTTTGCATGGTTTGTGCGTCAAAGGCTGCATGGAACCAGGGACTGGTAAAATCACGAGACCGGATTGAATGTTCATAATGAGTTGAAGAGGCTCATTCTTGTGAGGATGGTAAAAGTCCGAAGATACACAAGTGGAAAGATAATGTACAATATCAAAATTGAGAACTGCTTTTTTATGTGCTGGTTTTTTTTCCCTGAAAATGTTTTTACTCTTTTCATTCTGAGTGACTTGGGTGTGAATGTTTCACATTTGCCTACATACTTCCAGCACTGCCATTTCTGCCACTTCTCGGTGTGGTGTACAAAACAAAACCAAACATTCGAAAAAAACAATTAACAAGCCACAAAAACTGACAAATAAAATAAAGGGGAAAAAAGCAGAGAAGATAGTAACCGGGACTTTGCTAACACGCATACCTTTTTCTTGGGATTGAGAAGTTCTTTGTACAAGTCGGATTTGAGAAACCGCGAATAGCTGTCGCTTCGCATTAGAGTGTAGATGTGCTCCTGGGCAGAGTCAAATGTGTACCGGCCTGCTGCCCCCTTCATGTTTTTCCGTGTGACCTCCCGCACCTTGGAGTCCACGTTGATGGGACTGTGTGACGCTTCAGACAGGAACTCACTAAGAATTTACAACAAGAGAGGACATTTTCTACAATGGAAAAGGCCTATTGCCCTCAGAAGGCTAAATATTCAGAGCAATGGAACCCATGAGGCAGGTTAAATCAAACCATTATTCCAACAAGGCTCACAATGCAAGCAAATTTACAGATGTGTTTACGGAACAGTTTTTTCTATTCTTTTTATCGGTGGAGGGTGTGGAGGACAGCTTAACAAAGACCATCTGGGTCCACAGTTGGTAACCAACTTACTCATGGATCTCTTGTGCCTTGGCTGGTACTTTGCTGATTGCAGTTGCTTTCAATTCTTGACACGCTACCCAAAACCTGCATGAAAATTCAGAATATTTACTATGGAAATTCAGAATGAATAAGCATCTCTCCATGCTCATTAAAACCAAGCTGCATTACACTGCCACATCTAACCTCTTCTGTATCTTAGTATGCATGCTGCCACATTTTAACAAGAGAGCTGCTTAAGCACCCAAGTTGCTTCAGTGCGAGAAAACCTTGCTTGATAAATCAGGTAACCAGTCAAAACTAAATGTGATGTATATTATTTTGGGATCGTATTTACCTGTCTTTTGGTTAGCATGACAATCAGACAGAGTTTGAGCTGGTAACCTTTGTTGTTTAAGCAAGGTTTTTTCACTCTTAAGCAAAGTTTGTGCTTAAGCGGCTCTGTGAAATACTACCAATACTACCCAGTCAGGCTTACTGTTACCTTAGGTTTTCTTGGCTGAATTCCTTGGCAAGGAATTTTGCGAACTGGTCTCGGCCTAACGGATCCTTTAGCAGGTCGTCAAAGGAGAAGCCCCACTTCTTGACACGCCAAACTGGGACATCCTTTAGGTTCCTGTTCAGATATGAAAAATAAGTTTATTTATCAATGCACTGGCATAATCCTCAACCCTGTCAAACCAATCGGTCATTCACATAACTTGCTTTACCTCAGCTTACTTGGCTTCTCATGTTCGGTGATTGCTGACACCTATCCTGTTAGGAAAACAAGTAATAGCCAAGCCACTAAGCTACCTTGGGAGCCAGTGAACCATCCAAGCACTAGTCACCAAGCCAGCCAAGAAAAGAAGTTTGGCTGGACTGCTGGCAGACTACTCCAGAAAGGAGCTCATAAACCAGCAAACCACCCAGAAAACAAGCCTGCTTAGAAAGCCACTCAGCTATGCCATCACCAAAGCAAGCAAGCCAACATGGGAGGCACTGATCCAGCCACTAGGCGAACCATATCCAAGAAAACCAAATAGTTATGCCCTTATCAATGAATCAACGGGGATACCATCTAACCAGTAAGCCAACCACAAGGCCAGCCAGCACCCTACTTCAAACGGCCGGCCAGCCAGCGCTGCCCTTGGTCAAAACTGCCCACAAGCCAGCTAGCTATGACACATACACACTCACCATCAGGCAATAATTCAATCTGTGTCACTGACAAATTGGTCAATGAAATTTCTTACATCAGTCCTTGAAGTGCTACAACGAAGGTCAATGTGGGAGCAAGGCTCTTACTGAGATAAGGCCCAGACTGGAGGACTTGACGCTCTCAGCACAGCCAAGATAAAAGATTGTCTTGTGATATCTCACTGCATCCCCACAACTCCCTCTGATCCCTATCAAAGTTGGCTGCTGAGAGCACCACAGGGTAGCACGCTCAGTTCTCAGATAACTTTTCCAGTCACTCAACTTCACACGTGTGATATCCCATATCTGCCTTTTCAGTCTCTGGAGGACAAAGATATTGCTCAGGATCGGCAATGCTAAAGTGGCCATTTATTCATGACAACGATCTCTGGCTTGTCTACAGTCACTGATCTAGTGACAGCACTGCTGAAGCAAAGTGTCTTTGACCCAGGGGTTGCTGACACAGTTTTGAGCTTCATTTCTTTGAAACTGCTCAACCAAAGCATCGTACAGAGAGCACCGGGGGACATAAAAAAATTGCCAAACCTGCCAACCACTGTATTCTCCCATACACTATTCATAATTTTACAATACCACAAACCAAAAACTGGCAGATATGCTCAAGCTCACAACAAATTTCTGAGGCATTCAACCACGTGGCAATATTGAAATGCATGTTGCACAGCCGTCCTCCCCACAATCAAACAATCTTTGTGATCTCGCATACTTTTTTGCAAGTCTATAACTAACATTTTGAAATGAAAAATGCAGTGAGCACATCTGACAAGAAGATCCCAGCGCTGTGTTTTAAAATGTGCCGAGGGTAGCTCCCCTATTTTTTTCCCACAAACCTGTGAAACTTAACCCCCCGTTACAAAACTAGACCTCATCTATGTTAAAATCAAACACTGTCATGACCTCTTCTTCCTCACATCCCTCCCTCAGCATTGCTTTCAATCTTAACCAAGGAAGCCATTTTTGATCATGTTCCCTGAATTTATCCTTTTAAATGTAATCTGTTGAAAGAGGTGGTGCCAGACTATGTTGCCTCACTCATTCTTTTTAAAGTGGCTTAAAACATTTATATATGATAAATCACAAATTTTGAATTATTCCTTAGCATAAACGGCATTAATTGGTTATGAGGGTTTAATTCCTTGCTGTCATTTTTATTCTCTGGAGCAAAAGAAAAGGTAACCTCGCTTTCAATTCAATATGGCTGACTTGAGAACAAGGCCAACTGTGATACACACCATCCTGAAATAGACTATACCCCCAGTCTCTCCACCCCAATCATCCTCACCCTCACTGTATCACCACTCCCTTTCCCCACCCTCCAACCCACATCCCTCCCCCTCACAAATGCTTTCTTTCCTACAATGACTCACATTGTTGTAGCAGCTTCCCAAAGCGAGGGGTCATCTGACAACCAGGGGTTAGAGCCTTCCGTTGGTGCACACAGGAAACTGTCGTAGTCTCGGTACTGCTGACAGTAGCTTATCAACCTGACGAGGAGGGGGGGATAAGACCAAAGGAACATTGAGACAGATGTAACTACTGACATTCGAGTATGTCACACAAGCAGTTACCAGTTACCGTTATCTATTAGTAAATTTCCAAAGGACTATGAGCACTGTTCTCCTTGGGGGAGTGGGTCTTAAGCCTGCTTTCCATATTGACTAAGAAACACAAGGAGCAACCCAATCAAGATGCAAACTGCAACGCAGACACATAGAAACATGTCAAACGGTAGTGTCGCCAATAACCCAGGCACGTGCAACCAGCCCCAGACGGATCGGCAAAATTGAACCTGGTTCAACCTTACCGACTGTCTGCGTTGAGTCACTGAGTAGGCCTATACAAACATACACGCTGGCATGACGGGCATACAACGATGTTCCTCTCACTTAGTACCACTCATTTTGTCCATTTTCTCTTTATTACTAACATACATGTATATGTAGCCCCAATCATTGACAAAATAGCTGACCATAAACAAATTTAATCAGACTGGAGCATCAGTTTGGTTTCAAGAGGTGTCACTGCCACCAAAAAAATCATTTTATGCAAACATTTTCTGAATTTCTGGCGCCATGTTGCTTAATATTTTTGGTGGGATAAAATCACATCTTACACATCATCGGCCTTCGTTACGATCATATGGAAACCAGGCGTAACTTTTTTCCCCAAACTGGAAGTGTTTCACAGACCCCTCACTGGTTTTGACAGGTCGTCTCCTTTCTCAAGTGAAGATTCAGTGCTCGCACTTGAATTCCCCCCTCACACACACACAAAAGTTGGAGTAAGATCAGTGTACTTTCCCAGTGATTATGTCCTAAATTTAAACAAACACAACTCCTTTCTCAAACATCAGATTTGCAATCTCACACTTAAGAGTGCCAATTACGGAATACAATGTTTCTTAAGCCGTCTTTTTACACCAACCCCCCCAAAAAAACACTATTTACCTCTGAAATGTTAAACATTTGCCTTTGAAATGTGCTGACTGCCAAAAGAAAAAAATTCCTTAGAAATCCCTGATTTTACCTCTAAGAAATCCTGTGTAATCTTAAGACTTGTCCACAAGAAGTGTCATGGCATTACAACGGAATATGCATTTTTATAGTCTTTTTATATCAGTACATTCAGGATTTCAAATGTTAAGCTTGGTTTCAGGTATTAAACACAAGTGCTGCGGTTCTCTTCAAAAGTTTAAAAGTCGGTTCTCAAAAGAGCAAAGCAACATGCCTGGTTCCTATGAATATATTCCGCGTGACATTTAAAACTGCATGATAAAAAGCACTGACAGCAATAAACTCGCTTGCGAGAAAAACAAAGGGAGAAAAAGTAAAATGTAAATGACAAAAAGTACTGTGCTTGGGTTTTTGTACAAGTGAGTCTCCTGGAAAAGCTGCTCCATACAACAGTTATCCCAGCTCTTACCACCATTAGTGGGGGGCACTGCAAATGATCAGTGATACTGTTACCATGGTCACCAGTTTTGTCAAAAACGAAGGTTTAGTTTTGCCATGCACAGGTTGCAAAATCTCCCTTTCCCCCCCAAAAAAAATTCAATCGAATAAAAAAAAATTAACAACTAAATTTATAAAAAAAACAAGATTCTCTGCAAAAGAAATTCTAAAATGAAGTTGCCCAGGTTTACCTGTCAGGCCGTTGGACAAGCCTCAGCATAGTGAACGCAATGTCCCCACTAGGTAAACAATACGCAGGGAGCAGAGAAAAGTAACCATGCAAGACAAAAAGATCAAAACAACAAAAGGAAAAAACAAAGAAGTGGAAACAATATGGACAAGATTGAGAAACACAAAAGAAAAGTGTGCAGGGAAGTTCGCCAAAAGTTTCGTAAGTACAGACAATGTGCATGCAGTTTTCAAACATTTACACGCAGAGCACCAAGTACACCTACGCTAAGCTGACCACCACAATTAGAGGCCATTACTGCAATGATACCACGCTCATAACGCAGAAGGTATGCACGTGAACGCCTCTTTGAACAATATGGGATGATTTAAATCGCCAAAAGGTGCACATGCATCAAGTTTAAGAACCAGTGTCCGAGTGAAGTAGTGTCACTGCAGCAGTGGTGTGTCTTTGACACCAATCTGTTGGGTACACTCAGCCCTGTCCAAGCTTTTGGGAGGGGGCATTAAGGGGGGCCACAGTACCAGCTGGGGAGGGGGCACTTTGCAAGAACAACAGATCTGTTTGATGCCGATGGTGTCTGACAGGGGAGGGAGGGAGCAGCACCTCGACCGGCCTGGGTATGCTGCAACTTGGCATAGGCTTGCACGCAAGCATCTGGAGGTTTTGGGTTGAGTGCAGTCACAGGAAAGGTCATTTTGCAAGTCAGGTTTCATTTACATGTACATGGAAATCAAAGATCTAACCACCTAATAAAGAAAACAGAACAAAAAGAAAAACAAGAAGTGCAAATACTGGAAGTACAGAGCTGGAATTAAGTTTGGTGCAAGAAAGATCAGTTTTAAACACACAATAGAGCAGCGTCACATCATAGAGACAGGATGCATGTGAACTTCATGCACATTTGACAAAGTAAACATGTTTTCCCCTGTACAAAACACTTCTCTCCAAGAACACACGACCAACTTACAGCTCGGCAACTTTTGACGTCTTGTACTGCCTCTTTTCTAACCTCGCCTTCTGCATTTCAACCTGGAAAGGAAAGCAGCGGGAAGCATTCAGAATTGTAAAAAGTGTTGGCAATATAAAAGGTGAAAGAGACAAGTAGAGTGTATTGGTCAGTTCTGAAAACTTATCCTTCCTTCTGTGGTGGAGTACTTTATCGGGCCACTTAAACACGTTGGCATGGCCATATGCTGACTGACTCACCTCCAGCTGATGTACATACAAGTTAATCCCCTATTAGTTTGGTACCCACACAAAGTCTGTGTAGTTTGTGCAGAACTTAGCTACTGTGCACAGCCTGATGTGGAGGCTGATATTATTCTGGGGGTCAGCCCAGGAGCATTGAGTAACATTAGGGTGTGGTAAGAAATATCACTATATTCAAATGACTGTAACAAGTCAGCATCTGTGGAATTCAGAAGTTGGCTGCTAAAACATGCCTTTTTCTGAAGTCGAAATTTGCAGCCAAAATTTTTCTGTCCCCAAGTGATGCACAGTTCCACTGCCATTATTTCAATGACTGAGCAACACATGTCTCCATCCACAGCACTGATGAACCTTATACTATGATTCCATTGTGTGAGATCTTTAAAGAAACTGACCCTTCAGTCCTACCCCTTGGTAACTACATTCCAAATACAATTACATTTAACACGTACGCCAAGTGAAATCGTTCACATGTTAAGTATCACCTTTAAAATGCACGGCAGATGGGCATAACTTGGTAAGTAACTCTGATGAGTTGAGAGACCCAGCCTATTTCCTTTTCTGCTTCCATGCTTATAGAATAACTGGAGGAGATATCATTACTACAGAGGCATGGCACAACACTCGGCACAACACTCACATGTACCATAAATTTGAGGCATACAAGTATTCAGAAAGTCAGACCACCCTATCAGATGAAGAGGTATTAAAAGTGCGCATACCTCCTGTGTGCAAGTAGGGCACTACCCCCAGTAAAGGCTTAACTCTACTTCTGGCGGCTGAATCAGTTTACACATTAAAATACAAAAAAGGTGAACCTATAGCCTGTGTTCCTTCAAGATTATTAAAGACCAAGTGAGTTGGCAGGACACATGCTCGGAAGTACCCAGTAGTATGGATATAAAATTAAATAGAATGTTACATCATGGTTACATACATGTAGTATGGTACATTCCTGCACTAGAAAAAAACTACGTTATCACAGCCCCAATATCAACTGCCACCATTTTGTTTGACACAGCCACCCTTTAAAGGTGCAGTCCGTCATTTGTCATATGTACATTATGCTCTTTTAAGGCAACAAAGTTAGTAAAGATAAACAAAAGGTGCCTAAGAACGAAGTTTCTGCTCAGTAAATACTAATTATTCCAAAAGAACTACTCTAGGATTTTGATTTCAGATTAAAAGTTGCTGAGTCATGTTTTGAATTGCAGCTAAATTCAAACATCTGGTACATATTTAGTTGAATGAAGCTACATGTATGTGATGCCAAACTCTGAACATGCTTCCAATGGCAATTTTTCAAAAATGTGTTTCAGGGGCATCCTGGCAACAGACACTCGTTCAATATTTCCTTCAAATAAAATGACAGCTTACCAGGTGGAATAATTTCACTGGGAGTTTAGTCACATAACCATCTTTAAACCATGCAGGCTTGCCAACAATAATTTATCAGTTACATTTTGGATTACTGCAAATGATGGATAGTGCCCTTAAACTTCTGACAGGCACATCATGCTGGCCTTAACCATGGACCAAGCAGCTATGTGAATTATTGCAACATAAATCCTGAATTCATGTTCCACAGAGAAATACCACAGCTCCAAGATAATCCCTGAGTTTATGTACGCTTATTCTCTGTGGTTACTGCACATTAAGAAATCCTCACCAATAAAACGAGATTCTAAATGATCCATTCTAGAACGACTGACCTTTTATCACAACTACAGATCAGACTTGTTTTGGATAATTTACATGTACATGTATTAGTTTTCTCTTTTCATCTTGGAAATGTGTGAGAGCCATAATCCTTGGATGGCAGAAGTAGAGGGCTCATACGTTATCGAAGCTCTACACTGGTGACGCACTACATAAGATGGGCCACCGATAATCGCCAAGTGTGATGACCTGGTGCAGTATCCCATAATGCATTGCCTTGGGCCTGAGGCAGCATGTGGCCCCGGACTACCAGGTGTCTCCGTGCCTGTGTGCTCCCCCCCCCACCTTCCCAGTGGAGACTGCCATACTCTGGAGGCCATGTTCCTATCTCACAATGCCCTTTTTGCTCAGGGTGCAAAAAGATGAGATATGTTAATCAGGAGGCATTGAATAACCCCATCTCAATAAGGACGGATTTTATGAAAAGGGACTCCTGAGATACTTTCTTTTAAAACATTCATCTTGAGTCTCTAACTATCTAAAGATGACAAGATTTAGATCCACTAACGACCCACATGTAAGGCTCTGCTCACATAAACATTGGAGAGATTATCATTTATTTCAGAATATGAGAGATATTTTCCTTTGTACATCCATCAAAAAGTTAAGGATTCCTGAACATACATGTACATGTAAATTGGCAAAAAAAGGTCTTGTTTTATGGGAACAAAAGAAGAAAGAACTAGCAATATAACAAGAATTCAGATTTCAAACTTATCTCAGTTACATTATTTTCTCCTCCAAAGATGATCCTGATGGGCCTCCTTTAGATGGGCAATTGTAGAATCTATGCACAATGAGTAACAAGGTGAGCCCTAAGCCCCTTCAGAGCACCCTCTGTTGTGACTCACTGGGCAGTTCTCCAGCTCAATAGGCCGGGAGGGAGGGAAAGAAAGGGGAATGGACTGTAGCCTTGGGAACGGATATCACTTGGGTTAAATAAGGTGAGCCAATCAATGCAGCCAGTCAAGCATGAAGGATGAATTTAACAATGAACACGTGCATGTCAGAACTGACAGCAGTAATTCTTGGTTGACATAATGATGGTGGGCAATCAGGAATTTCTGTCGGAGGGGACATACAATGTACAGATGGGGAGAGGGGATTACTTAAAAATCTTAGCATACGCCTCATCGCTATTAAAGGCCACCATTAAATCAGAAGTCAAAACGACATGACCAAAACACGGATCAATGTACACATGTGTATAAGGCATACACACACAAGTTCTTGTGCTGAAGGAGAAGGGGTTCAGAGTGCAGGAGGTATATTAAACTTCCTAGCGGAATAATTAGAAATCCTGGGCTCAGTGTCGGCTGAAAATACCCCTCTTAAAAGGTTTTGGGGGCTTCAGCTTACCATTTCTGAGCAACATGACAATAGTTGCGAGGTCAGTTGCAACTGAAGCCTGATTAGGCACAGTCTCATTGTTTCTGGCAACTTCTCTGGCTGCTTAACACATCCCGCCCCTTTCAAACAATGTCAAACTGGGATTTGTGGGTAATAAAAGCAAGGAAAAATATCTCAGGTGAGAGATTAAGGTGGCTTCTGTGACTGATAGGGCACTAGTCAGCAGCAAAGTGAACTCTGACCTGCGACCTGTTTCTCACACTATTCCTCCAGGGCATTTCAATGAGCTAATTTTACCTGCAAACTACATGTAGTCCCAAGTGGTACACATCACACGACAGTGAGAAAAGTGAGTTTTTGTTAAACTCAGGAAAGCATTACTGTTTGTTCATGGGTGCCTAAAACTGACTAAACTGGGGCATGGGAAAACCCCTTGGATTGTCCCCAGTTACATGTAAATACCAAACTCACAACATGCTCTGAAACTGACCAAGTTAAATTGCCAAATATGGATGAACCTTTCCACATGGCCAGGGGGCCACATTTGTTCTACAGGGTGCAGACCACTAATTCAAGTGAGAATTT